AAATTCGTATGGCTGCATGGCAGTGTCTGTGGGCTATGACCCTTGGGAATGCATGTTTGGGTCCAGAAGGTAGGATTTGGAGGCGGGAGCAGGGTAGGTGTGTGACTTCTGCTTAAATGTTGGTAAAACTGGTCCTGGAACACTGCAGTTCTTGGGTGGCATTTGAGTGCGAATTAAGTCATCAAAATTTAGGTATCTGCTTTTTGAGGTCATCTGGTCGATATAGTTAGTGGACACTAGAGAAATATTCAACCGTAGAGTCACGAGGTATCCATTTAAAGGCTAGATGGATCACTTTCTAAGCTTTTAAACTAGGACAGGAATTTTACTATGCAGGTCACATGTTGACTTCCACATTCAGGTTTCCAAGTCTCAAATCACATCCCTGGGGCTCCACTTGTTCATTAGAGATCCTGTCAAGTCACCAGCTGCAAGACCAGAATGGTGTGGTCCCTATGGTAGTAGGTCTTGTATCATAGCTGTCAAACTCAGGTGGATGACTTGGCATCACAGATCACACTAGGAGCCTACACAGACACACAACTGCATGGTACCCCTTACACGTGTGTTTTATAAGAGATGCTGAAATACATTGTAAGGTCACTTTGAATACAAAACAAAAAAAAGGCACAATCCTTCTTTTTGAGTTATGGAAGAAAATAGAAGACCTGAAAGACTCAAATCTTGAGTGAATTCATTAGAGAGAAGGCAGAGTTGTTTTGTAGGTGCTTTCATGAGGAGATATAGGACTCTGAGTACTCACTGGGGCAAAGTGCAAGCAGACCCGAGGAGTTCCAAATGGGGTCCTACATGAAGGCCAGGTCCTTCTTTCCAAGAAGAACTTAAAGCAAACATGAAACACTGAGCTCAGGGTGTAACTGGTGTAGAAGGGCAGTGGTCTATAGGTGAAAGATCCTATAGAGATGAGACAATTTGAACTCTATATTTTTCTTTTGCATTTTTGTCCTGTCACCTTTATTAAATTACTTCAAATGTTTTACAGTTTGGCATAAGATTTCTAACACTGTTTAAACAGTATAGTTTCTGCAACAAATAAACAGGTTTATAGCTTGTGATATATTTGTCTCATAGCTTATAATCTCCATGTTTTTCCAGACTTGGATGGGTTTTCTTCTTGTTTCTTTACCACGCATTGTGCTTTTCTGTTGTGTGGTTGTGGTACAGAAAGACTTTGTTCTTCCTAGATCAAGACCTGTTTTGAGATAGAAACTCCAGGATATCACTCTCAGCACTTCTAAGAATTAGGAACATATAGGTCATCAGAAGATGAAGGGAAGGCCTGTGTTTTGCAAGTGAATGTGCTGATCAGAGCATTTACTTCCCCGGGGAGGAGATATGCTTCCTCCAGTAAGACAGGAGACTTCTTGAGGAACAAGAAGCCACAGTGAATGGAGTGACTGACCAAAGCATGAGAGAAATCTCTCAGGCCTTTTGGAAGCAAGAGGATGACTCCAACAGAAACAGCACATGCTTCTTTGTACTCTAGGGATAAGTATGTGCAGCAGCCAGTGAGCTGAAGATTCTTCTTTCTCCAGGGAAACTGAAGCAAATTTGAAGGTGGACATTGGACAATATGACTCCATTGGGAAGCAAATGAAATATCTCTATCTAGGTCTTTTCAGTCTAGGTAGCCTGTGCATCTGTTGTCTTCTGTTTAAGGTGGCTTTGTTTCTGATATTGTCCAAATAGCTATGAAATGTAATTAATCAGCTCTTGTTTGGGTTGTGTTTTTGTTTTGGTTTGGTTTTGTTGTTGTTGGTTTGTTTCTTTTTAATTTGGCTGTTTTCTGCACAGTCATTACAGAAAACTTTTAAATGCTAAAATTAAGTACAGTAAAAGATGCTGGGTTTATAGGCCACATTTCTTTTAGGTAGGGGAATCTTGCATGCTTAGCATTTTGATGCAATTTCCAATTGTAAGCTGGTTCTGCTCAACAAGGTCCTGAGCATTTCTTGCTGTGCAAACTGGATACCTGGCTCAGTGCTTGTGTCCAGAGAGGAGAGCAGTCAGTCTACTCCCAGTATTGTCAGCCTGCTGATTGTCCCGAGTCCTCCAGCTTGCACAGAGTGGATCTGCTAGGGGTTGGGGTAGTCTCCAGCTGAAGAGGTTAGTTGTCTCTTGTGAAACTTTGGGAGCTAGAACCCTTGTCTTACCTCACGCAGTAACTCTGCATGATTGCAGTCTGCAAATGGTTGTGTCTGGCTTTCAGACTGCTTCATTAAGAGTTAATTTATATGCAAGTTTGGTTTTCCAAAAAAACAACGCACATGACTGATCCACCCTATCATAAATTTTTATAATGATAAGGTGGTGCAGGCTCATCTAAAATTCCTTCCAAAGGCGGTGTCAGGTTTTTACTTTAGTCATCCTAACCATCTTTTCCTTCCCTGTATTTTCACTGTAGGAAGGCTTTGTTTACATGAGCTGGATCCTCATAGTTCTACTCCCACTCCCACCCCCACCAGGACTTCGCAACATATTGTAGATTATCATCACTAAGACTTCAGTTTGGCTTTTTTTTGTTTTTTATTAAGAAGCATTTTTTTTCATCAGAACTCTTTACCTTGAAGCAGCTTTTCTCAACACTTCAGGTTTGCAGATGATGGTGCGAGAAGGAAGAAGTACCCCAGAAACTGCTGTTTTCTGACTGACCAGGAGGTGATGGAGGGACAAGGGAAGGCAGCAGGGTTATGAAGCAGATTTGGGAGTGAGTTGTCAGAAGGAAAAGGCTTCGATCTTGGTTTGCTGATGAGGATGGAGGTGGCACAACCTTTGGAAATTAGCTAGCGTGTGGATGTCTGACAGACTTGGCAGAGACAATGAGCAGTACTTTGGATAACAGTGATCTAGACAGGAGAAAATTTGGAAGAGGTCAGGAATCTTTATTTCCTTCCTCCTCTTCCCACGATAAAAGCAAAATAGGCTTACAGGTTTTAAGGAATGCTGGAGAAGTAGAAGATAGAGAAGGGCTGACAGCAGCACTGGTGAGGAGTTGGAGTGCTTTGTTTTGCTTTGTGCTGACATAACCATGTGTGTAATTGATCCAAGTGAGAAACCGTGCGTGCACTCTCACTGCCACCGTACCTGCTCGTGATGAAATCGAGGTAGAACCTTTGCAATCTACCGTACGTATCTAGAAGGTCAAACAACGTGATGCCATCAGCACCTTAACGCACAGATGAGCAGCGTAGTGGTAATGCAGCTCCCTTCAGAGCTCCTACACTATAGCTGTTTTCCTTAATAGATTTATGAGACTCTGTAATGTGCTTTCAGGGTGTATGAGATGCAAGGTTTTTACAGTAAGATATCTTCTATCATGAGCTAAAATCTTCCCTAGAGACAAAGAATAAGTTGTGCTGACTCATGCAGTCGTAATGCGTAAGGTGTGTGGGTTTGCTGTTTGGTCAGGGGAAATTAGGGTAAAGTCAGAGAACTCTCAAGAAAAAAAAAAAAAAATGTAGGGGAAAAGGTTGTGCTCAGTTTTGGCTTTAGAGTGTGTGTGTGGGCTACCAGAAGAGCAACTAGAAATGTGGTGTTTCATAGGCACTTCACTGAATGTCTTTGAAAACCCAGGTAGCTCTCTGGTGTCCAACCTTAGCTGATGTGTTGCTTAGCTTTACCATCTTGATGCACAGATAATGGGATGGAAAGCCTTTTTGCTCTAAGCAATTCTTGGAACCAAATGGTCACCAATACATTTTTGGCATCCAAAAATGAGGTGGCCACAAAACTCAGCTGCTATCTGCTTGTAAATCATATGTAGTGATGAAGAAGCTGGCACCTCTATGGTCCATAAAATGGAGATCTTTTAGAAAATATTGCCATTTCTAAGGAATTTGTTTATGACAGTAACAAAGGACTTCTGTGTTGATTTAGAATTTCAGTTGCCTGGCTTTTGTACAGGGTGGTTTTCTTTTTCTGTGGGAGTTCCCCCCAGCTCTTTTTTTAGAGAGACACTGATTTCAGCATGCCAGAACTCCTGTACATACAGACATACACAGCTGGTGTTCTCAAAGAAATTTGTGTGCAGATAATGATTGTTGTAGTGCATTCAAGCTGAAAGTTTGATGTGAAGGATGTAATCTGCAGGAAATGGGAGATCTAATTTGGAAAGTTGGGCCAGGATCCACTGTCCTGAGCAACAGAGCTTCATTCCACATTGTATCTAGTTTTCTAAGAATTAAGTTCAGGTTTAGCCCAGCTGTTCATCTCGTACTCAGAAGTAAACTTAGTAGAACCAGCCTCTAATGACACTTATTGCAGTGTTTAATGTTTTCTTATTTGTAATGTTCCCATTGTATGGATGGCTGGATAAATTGGGTAAGACGTCCCCTTGTGTTCTAGTTGGTCCTCGGAGAGGAGAGGGGCAAAGGGTGGCTGAACATACCCAATTTAGCCAGCCCCCCATGGAACAGCTTCCCAGGGCAATCCTTTAGGAAGAGAAAGCTCATTTTCTCTGATACTGGGTTTTCTTTCTAAATGGGACAAAGTTGTTTTGGGGAAAAAGTTACAAGTCTCTGTTGAAAGTCTCTCTTCCAACTGACAGTCAGTCTTTCAATAGTTTCTTTTTACCTGGAGTGAAAAAAAACTATTCCCGATTCACCAGTTTGCTTGTGCCCATTAGAGATGAGTTGTCTGTTTCATTAATCATTTATTACTTTGTTACAGTAGTCACAGAATAATCCACAAAGAAAGACACTAATGTGCAGTCAACCAGTTTTGTAAACACCTGTCTTAAAGAGCAAATAATGGAGAGGAAAAACATAAACTGCACAATTAGTCAAATTAGGTATTGCTGTGAATTCTTCAAGCTGGTTAAAAATAGATGTCGTTCGTATGTTATACAATGCATCCACTCTTAAATTTGGTAGTTATGTTTAAATATTGAAGTGTTTCAATAGTGTTAAATAGTTTTATACTTGTTCTAAATTAAATTCTTCTGGCAAAGAGATTTTTATTTTGTTTCTATTGTGTTCCAGACTCTCCTACAGATTTTTGGTGTGGTGGCTGTGGCTGTGGCAGTGATTCCTTGGATACTCATCCCCTTAATACCACTATTTATTCTTTTCATTTTTCTTCGACGATATTTCTTAGACACTTCAAGAGATATTAAACGTCTAGAATCCACAAGTATGTAGTTTGGCGGGGCTTGATGTTAGTTTGAACCCTGCTTATTATTATGTGAAATGCTAGCATTTTATAGACAATCCATCAAAGATTTTTTCTTTTGCTATGCAAATAACTTCCTTATTGCCTTGGTTCTCAGCTAGTGAATTACATGTTTAACTCTTTTGCATAATGAAAAACTTTAGGTATGTCAGTTTAGATATCTGTAAGTAAAGCTAGTTAAGAACATGTTAAGTTGCTGGTCTTTGGGACCACACATGCACATATTTATGGTGTTTCTCACCTAATCTGACTCTTGTGCCTGACTTGAGCTTGATTGTGATGTCAAGTATTACATATTATGAATAAAAAACATGGTGCCTCATGTCATTAGTAAAGCTCAAAGAATGTCTTCAGTGGTAGCTATTGTTAACAATGTAAGACATTTTTGTATAAATTAGTCTGTCTGATTCTAATCGACTAAGAGGACTTTGGTTAAAGATATTGCATATTTATTCTAAAAGGATGCAGCACAGTAACTTTTATGGCTAAATATAAAGTAGTAGGATTAACGATTAGTTTGGTACATAAAGAATTAAATATTGCCCTTCAGCCATTGTTAAGATGCTGTCATTTCCCTCCATAGCTAGAAGTCCTGTGTTCTCCCACTTGTCGTCCTCCCTCCAGGGACTTTGGACTATTCGGGCTTTGAAAGCAGAGGAGAGATTTCAAAAATTATTTGATGCACACCAAGACCTTCACTCAGGTTTGTGATGAATTGATGTAAAAAAATCAAATACTTTGCTCTGTAGGAGGGAAATACCTTATGCCCTCAGCGACATGCGTGTAATGTACATTAAAATCAGTAGGAGCTGTGCATTTGTCTCTTTAGGGTAAAATTTCTCTATTAGAACAAAAATGTTACTATCTGTATAGGTTTTGAGTTTACTGTAATTGAGATACCCACATGTATGTTTTAACAGTGGCTAAGAGGAACATTTTTAAATGTGCCTGACAAGAACATTTAAAGGATCATTTTTGACATTTTCCTGGATCCCATCTTTTAAAAAAAACAGGGAGGGGGGGAACATGAAGCATTTACTATTAAGTGGGGTGCTATTGTAGGCAGAGATTCTTGATATAAGTAATCTTGGAAAAGCTTCATAGAGCTCACTTCTTTACTTTGGGCTGGTTTCAGGGCTTAAATCTGACATATGTTATTGACATGATCAGAAGCTGTAAAATATTAGTATTCTGTAAGCGTAAATAATAGAATTCAGGTTTGTGCTGTGGTTCTTTACCTTCTGTCAATGAAGTGTTCTCTACTACAATGTTTTATGAGTTGTATCAGATTGCAGGTTTGCAGTTTTGTGTTTGTTAGGTAAGATCTTGAACTCAACAAGAAGCTCTATGCTGGGGCTTGTTCTCACCAACAAGGAGTGGCTGGTGGGGAATGTGAAGCTCAAGGGCAGCCTTGGCTCCAGTGACCATGAAATGGTGGGGTTCAAGACATTTAAAAGGGCGAGGAGGGTGCAAAACAAGCTCACTACCCTGAACTTCAGGAGAGCAGACTTTGGCCTCTGCAGGGATCTGCTTGATAGACTACCATGGGTAAATCCCTGGAGGGAAGAGGGGCACAAGAGAGCTGGTAAGTTCTCAAGGACCACTTCCAAGCTCAGAAGCAATGCATCCCAGCACAGAGGAAGTCAAGCAAAAATGCCAGGAAACTTGCTCTGGGTGAATAAGGAGTTCCTGGACAAACTTAAGCACAAAAACGAAGCCTGCAGAAGGTGGAAGCAAGGACAGGTAACCTGGGAGGAATGAGGAGAAATTCTCTGAGCAGCTAGGGATCAGGTTAGAAAGCTAAAGCCCTGATAGAATTCAGTCCGGCCAGGGGCATCAAGCCAACAAGGAAAGCTTCTGTAGGTGCATTAATGATAAAAGGGAGACTATGGAAGATATATCCCCTCTCCAGAAGGGAAGAGGAGACTTGGTTACCTGGGATATGGAGAAGGCTGAGGTACTCAATAACTTTTTTGCCCCAGTCTTCACCAGCAAGTGCTCCAGCCACACCACCCAACTTGCAGAAGGCAAAGGCTGGGACTGGGAGCATGAAGGACCACCCACTGTGGAAGATGATCAGGTTCAAGACCATCTAAGGAACTTGAAAGGTGAACAAGTCCATGGGACCTGATGACATACATCTGTAGGTCTTGAGGAAACTGGCAAATGAAGTGGCTATGCCACTATCCATCATGTTTGAGAAGTTATGGCAGTCCAGTGAAGTTCCAACAGACTGGAAAAGGGGAAGCATAACCCACTTATAAAAGGAAAAAAGGAAAACCTGGGGAACTTCAGGCCGGTTAGTCTCACCTCTGTGCCAGCAAGATCATGGATCAGATCCTCCTGCAAACTACACTAGGACATGAGGAAAATAAGGGGGTGACTGATGACAGCCAGCATGGCTTCACTAAGAGTAAATTGTGCCTGACAAATTGGGTGGTCTTTTAAGATGGAGTGACAGCACTGGTAGAGAAGGGAAGAGCATCTGATGTCACCTATCTGGAGTTGTGTAAAGCATGTGATACTGTCCTGCAGGATATCCCTGTCCCTAAAATTGGTGAGACATGGATTTGAGGGATGGACCACTTGGTGGATGAGGAATTGGCTGGATGGCTGCCCTCAGAGTTGTGGTCAACAGCTTGATGTCCAGCTGGAGACCAATGACAAGGGGTGTTCCTCAGGGATCAGTGCTGGGACCAGTCCTGTTTAACATCTCTGTCGGGGCCATGGCCAGTGGCACTGAGGGCACCCTCAGCAGGTTTGCCGACGACACCGAGCTGGGTGGTGCAGCTGACACGCTGGAGGGAAGGGATCCATCCAGAGGGACCTGGACAGGCTGGAGGGGTGGGCACAAGCCAACCTTATGAGGTTCAACAAGGCCAAGTGCAAGGTCCTTGCACCTGCAGCTAGGAAAGCCGACCCGGCTTTCCTGGGCTGCATCAAGAGAGGTGTAACCAGCAGGTTGAGGGGGGTGATTCTGGCCCTTTACCCTGCCCTTGTGACATCCTGCATGGAGTACAGAGTCCAGATCTGGGACCTCCAACGTAAGATGGACATGCACCTGTTGGAGCAGGTCCAGAGGAGGACCACAAAGCTGATCGGGGGCTGGAAGCGCTCTCCTATGAGGCTCGGGAAGGAGCTGGGAATGTTCAGCCTGGAGAAGAGAAGGCTCCAGGGAGATGTTATTGCAGCCTTCCAGTACCTGGAAGTAAAAGTACAAGAAAGCTGGAGAGGGACTTTTTGTTAGGGCTTGTAGTGATAGGGTATGGAGTAATGGCTTTAAACTGAAAAAGGGTAGATTTAGATTAGAAATTGGGAAGAAATTCTTCACTATGAGGGTGGTGAGACACTGGAAGAGGTTTCCCAGGGAAGTTGCGGATGCCCCAACCTTGGAAGTGTTCAAGGGGAGGGTGGGGGGGGCTCTGAGCAGCCTAGTCCAGTGGAAGGTGTGCCTGCCCGTGGATGATAGAACTAGATGATCTTTAAGGTCCCACTCCATTCTATGTTTCTGTTAATCTCCTCTAAGACATGCAAGTATATTCTATGGCTTTTTTTTTTTTTTTGTAATTTATAGACTTCTAAGGTTTCACACCAGACCAGCTGATCTTTTCTGAAGTAGTTTATCACAGGCTGTAGAATGGTGCACACTGACTTCTGCGCTGAGCCCAGTTCCTTGTGTGACTGGGGAAACATATCTTCCAGGGAGGCACCTCTAGCTTTGAATTCCCCATTTCTTAGTATTTTCAAGTCATTAGTTATCTGACCAAATCAATTTCATGGTAGCTGATAGTGAGGGAACACAAAGTTGTTTTTTAAGCTTTGTGTTAGAAGACATCTCTAGGCAATAAACTGTACTTTGTTTTGGATTTTAAGGTCAAACCTAAGGAACATGAGCACACTATTTTCCAGTTAATTTTATGCATCTCTCTAACAAAGCTGTCAATAACACCCCTCCTAGGCAGTTCAGGAACCTGGTTTTCAGATCCAGCTTCAGTGCTTATAGTCTCACTCTTTTGTGTAGCTACATGTTTCATCTTGGTGTCTTTCCCACCCAAGCATTTGGGGTACGCCAGCTCAGGTATATACCTTGATTTTTGGTCCTCGGAGGGAATATGAGCCAGCAGTGTGCCTGGGCAGCAACATCTGGGTTGTATTAACAGGAGCACAGCCAGTGGAAGGAAGGAAGTGATAGCCCCCTCAGCACTTGTTAGCCCACATCTGGATTACTGCATCCAGTTTTGGACCCCCAGATACAGGAAACACTCTTAAACTGGAGTGAGCTCAGTGGCTACCTTAGTGGAGCCACTAAGCTGGCCATGGTACTAGCAGGAGAGATCTCTGCAGGAACAATAGACATAGACAAGGCTATAGGGCTGGATGGGTTACACCCAAGAGGGCTGAAGGAGTTGGCAGATGGGCTCATCAATCCACTTTCCATCATTTATCAGCAGTCCTGGTTAAACGGGGAAGTCATAGAACCACAGAATGGCTCAGGTTGGAAAAGACCATGGAGATCATCTAACCCAACCTCCCTGCCATGGGCAGGGACACCTCTCAACTAGACCAGGTTGCTCAAGGCCTCATCCAAGCTGGCCTTGAACACCTCCAGGGAGGGGGTATCCACAGCCTCTCTGGGCAATCTATTCCAGAGTCTCGCCACCCTTGTGCTGAAGTCTCTGGACTGGATGTTAGCAAATCTACAAGAAAGGCCAGAAAGATGATCTGGGGAACTACAGACCTGTTAGTCTGACCTCGATGCCAGGGAAGTTTATGGAGCAAATCATCTTGAGTGCCATCCCATGGCACATACAGGACAACCAGGGGTCATGAAAGACAGGTTGTGCTTGACTAACCTGATCTCCTATGACAAGATGAGCCTCTTAGTAGATGAGGGAGAGGCTGTAGATGTTGTCTACCTGGAGTTCAGTAAAGCCTTCAACGCTGTTTTCCACAGCAATCTCATGGAAAAGAAAGGCTTCTCATGGCATGGACAGGCATAAACTCTGCTGGGTAAAACACGGGCTGGACAGACAGGCCCAAAGAGGGGTGGTAGATGGAGCTAAATCCAGTTGGTGGCCAGTCACAAGTGGTGTTCCCCAGGGCTCAGGGTTTGGGCCACTTCTATTTAACATCTTTATCTGTGATCTTGATGAGGAGATAGAGTGCACCCTCAGTAAGTTTGCAGGTGACACTAAGTTGGGAGGAAGTGTTGGTCTGCTTGATGTAGGAAGGCTTTTCAGACAGATCTGGACAGGCTGCATTGATGGGCCAAGGCCAATGGTATGAGGTTCAGCAAGGCCAAGTACTGGGTCCTGCAGTTGGGCCAAAACAACCCCATGCAACACTACAGGCTTGGGGAAGAGTGAATGGAAAGCTGCCCAGCAGAAGGGAACCTAGGGATGTTGATTGACAGCTGGGTAGATAGAAGCCAGCGGTGTGCCCAGGTGCTCATCACTCTGTAACCTGCCTGTCCAAAATGAAGGGACTTAAAACCAGATTTATCTCCTTCCCCCCCCCTTTTTTTTTTTTTTTTATAAAAGGGAGGATACTTTCTGCTTGAATTCTTTCCCAGCACTGGGCTAAGGAACACTGAAACACTGGAAATAGCTCTGATCTTTAGTGTGGAGCAATGACAAGCAGTGCAGGAAGGGCTGGAAGATAACCTTCTGCTGGGACTTGGGAGCAGTTGGAACAGTTCATCTGACTGCAGCCTAAGCAATAAATAATGCCATGCTTTGTTATGGCTACTTGACTTCTGGTTTTGGCCCTGGATTCAAACACTTTGCCTTCTGTATTGCAGAGTCTTCTCTGGCTGTCTCCTGTATCTTGTACCATAGCATATCTTTCTCAGATGGAATTTAGCACCAAGTTGTGGATACCTGGATGAGAATGCCTGGTGGAGATGTCCACCTGTGAGCTTCCCTGAAAGCAGATAGCTGCATTTAGCCAATTGAATAGCTCTGTCGCTCCACTGGCTGTATTGAGTAGCTCCTATAAAAGGTTAACAAGCTGCAGCTGCCTTCTAAAGATGTGGCTCTGACAGTTGTGATATGGTCTAGCTAAAAGCCTGTAGGCTGTAGTCCAGCTACAGCAAATGCTGTTGTACTTCGGCTTGTTGTATAAGGCTCCTGAATCCACTAGAGTTAAAAAAAGCCTTCCATTGTAAATAACTGTACCACACTTCAAGCCTTGACTGGTTTTCTTTTTCTTCCTATTCCCGTATGTTACAGTAGCTGTGGTTGCTATTGTGCTTGCTGGTAGTGTGAAAACTAGATTACACCATTTCAGGAAAAATGGACAATACTCTGATCATCATCAGTTCATACAGATGTGTACTTAAAGATGGCAATGTGGTTTTTTTTTAACTTATTAACAAATTAATTAGTTTAATAATAATTATATATATATCTTTGTTTTCTAATAATCCACTGTTCTTATGTCTTTGTAATATACACTTCAGAGGCCTGGTTTCTATTTTTGACGACCTCAAGATGGTTTGCTGTGCGCCTGGATGCCATCTGTGCCATTTTTGTTATAGTGATTGCTTTTGGTTCTCTGCTTCTCGCCAAGAGTAAGTACAAATGTTAGAAAAAGTTCATCGAGTAATTACCATGTATAGTAATGTCTAATTCTTTTTCATAGCTTGCTGTTTCTAATTGTTTAAGGACTGCAATTAAGTTAAATGTTTCTTTCTAGATCGTGATCTCTTCCTTAGTCTAGGGCATTGGGGCTGTATCTGCTTTTCTGCAAATACTGGAGGCAGTTCAGACATCTTCTGGGTTTAGGCATGCATCTGCCATCATTGCCAAATGTGCAAACAAGCTTGCAAATCTTTAGTCTTCACTCTTGAGATTCTGGCTTTCAGAGCAATAACAACAAATAAATCTTTTTCCCCACCTTTGCCTTTCCTTTTTGGGCCTGCAGGGCTTTGCTTTTCATACTGAAACACCCACAGAGCTGCTTCTTAACACATGGCACAGTAGGCCAGGAGGTAAGGTAAAATTCCTAGGGATACTCTTCTGATATCTTGGATCAGCAGGATAGGCCAGTTCTAGAAAGAAAATCACCTCGTAATAATACATTTTGTGTTCACTGTCACTCATGAACTGTCATTAGTGTACACACCGTCCAGGATGTAATTGGGTTAGATGTACTAGAATGAGATAGTCATCTTAAATATGAAGGAAGAAGTAATTATCTTGGACATGAAAATTAGTGCTAATTTGCTGGTTTTGTTTCTTTTCTTTTTCCTTTGGATAACTTCTGTATATGCCTGTCTGTTTTAAAATTTGAATGCTCTGTGCTGTTCAACACTGAAAATGTTGAACTGGGTTTGATGTTATTAGAATGCAAAAAGACAAGTCAAAACAATGGTCCTGGATCTTTCCTTGCCTCTGGATAAGGAGTAGCTTTTCTGAAGTCAATAGAGCTATGCTAGGATAAAGTTCAAGTAAATCAGAGGACAATTATGCTTAATATTGGGGCAGACAGAATTCGTTTATTTTGTGAGAGTAGACCCACTGAACACAATAAATGCTAATACAGACTTGGAGAAATCCTCTGTCCTGTTACTTTGTCTGATCACTTACAGGAGTACAAAGTTGATGTAAACGTTAGTAACTTACTGTGAAATAATTTTATGCTGATTTTTTGCTTAGATTTAGGGGCTTGATCTAATTCCCCTAGAAAAAAAAGTAAAAGTTATTAATGCTCAGCCAGGTAGGAGTGACCTTAACAAGCTGTGGTCTTGAGACTGAAGCTTAGATTTTATATAAAATGCCAGGCCAGAGAATTGGGATTATCTTTTCAGGTATACAGCCAATTTCCAAAATATATAAAAAAAAAAATGCAGCAAGTAGCTGTTCTGCCCGGAGCTACTCATTGCACAGGTGGCAAGCACGGCGTAGCCAAACAAAATTCTGGCTGTGATGCTTCCATGGAGTCAGTAACCTCATGAAAGTGAAGTTAACGAGGATTTTGTGTAATTAGCAGTGTATTTGATTCTCTTTTCATCTGTCCTGCAGCTCTGAACGCGGGGCAGGTTGGTTTGGCGCTGTCCTACGCCATCACCCTGATGGGGACGTTCCAGTGGGGCGTCAGACAGAGTGCTGAAGTTGAAAACCTGGTAACATTTATTCCTTCCTTTTCACCTCTTCGTCCCTTTCCGTGGTTGTATCGTGAGGCCTTAAGGATGGGGTTCTTCTTAATTGACTTAGGACATTACAGGCCATAAAGGAAAATAGCCTCTTCTAGGGTATAATTTACTCGACTTATTTTGAATGTCTGTTGAGATTAATTGTACCCAGCGACTGTCCCTCTCCATTCATGGTAAAAGAGGCTTTATAATCTCCCTTTACAGCAGTAAGGAGACTGTCTAGTTACAGTGTAGACAGTTGCATTGCAACTTTCTAAAATTACATTAAATCAATCCCTCTCTGTAAGTAACTTTTAAAAAATCGTTTTAGATCTGCAGTTTTAAATTTATTATTATTATTGTTGTAGTATAAAATTTTATTCATATGCCTCATGGCGTTTTTAGGGTCCTGTTAATTAGTTATAAAGGCTTGTATGATCTTAATTTGTTGCAAGTTAAATATTTGAAAGTTTTTATATTCAGCTGAGAATTGTACATTTTCCAAAATATATCAAGTAAAACGTCTTCCACTAATTTACTAATACACTAGTGTGTTCTAGTTTGCCTATTTGCTTTCTTGAGTTAATATATAAGGAAAAAGATTATAAAAAAGAAAATACTGAGCATAAACATGTTGAGTTTTTTTTTCTTTTTGGTGTTGTGTTGACAACTGAATGTTACTTGTGATTATGATATGCAGCCCATAGTCTAGGAAATATGTAGTCCTTTTGTGGAAGTTACAAAGCCATGTTTAATAACAGATAAAATTAATAATAATGTTAGGTTTGTAGTTTTTTGTCTAGCACATTGCGTCTTCAGAGCGTCTTTCAGATATGAATAAAGTACTGGTGACAGTCCTCAGGCAGAAATGGGAAGAAAGCTTTCAGGTTTTTCTGTACCAGTTGGGAAGTTTTGGGAGTGTTGGTCTGTGGGACTCTATTGTAGTGCCTTACTCTCTTGGAGGCTGTGATTCAGAAACTCTCTGGAGGAGAAGGGCTTCCTATTCACTAAGCTGGCTTTGATGTGGAATGCTGATCATTTTATGGAGCTGTGATTAGAATCATAGAATCATAGGGGT